GATATTCATTATCTGCAGTGGGTGTTTTTTGCAGAAACAGGAAATAAATGAATGTTCCAATTAAAAAAAAAGTTGTAAATCATGGTCACAGGACTGTGGTGGGACAGTGCCAAAAACCAGTTGCTGGGCACCCAAAATATGATCCCGTGACTGCTTGGGGAGGGGAGGGAGGAGCCATCGTGAAATTGTATACATACACACACATATCTATATATCTATATCTCTATATCTGAGACTGACTGGGTGGCTCAATGGCTAAGACACTGAGCTTGTCGATCAGAAAGGTCAGCAGTTCGTTTTGAATCCCTAGCACAGGTCTCCTGCGTGAGCAGGGGGTTGGACTAGATGACCTCCAAGGTCCCTTTCAACTCTGTTATTGTTACTGATACAGATATACATACATACACACACACACACACACACACACACACAGTGTACTGTGTACTGTCTGAATCAATTCATTTACATCTCAGTCCCCTAATTTCTACCTCTGTTGTCCAACCATTGATAAAATAAGTGCCAAATTCTTCTTTTTCTTTAGCGTTAAATCTGCCCATTTCTGCACCGTCCAATATTTTTTAAAATTATATCTTCTCCTTGTAGGCGTTTCCTCGCTTTTCCAATGTTGCCCAAGTATAATTCTTGCCGTTGTTAAAACATGCAATATCAAATCTGTATTCCTTTTATTGTATTTTTCTGGTATTCTGCCTAATAAAAATAGTGCTGGCTTAAAATCTATATGCTGTGTTAACATTTTTTTCTAATCACATATGCATTTTTTGTCCAAAATGTTTTTTGCCACTGTGAATTTTGATTCTAAGTAGCTTTGGTGAGGTCCATCAGTTGAGGATTAACCTGTAGTTTGTTCCTTTGCTTTCTCATCCGAGTCTGCAGGCTTTTGAATATAGACACAAGTTAATGATTAAAGTGGTGTTTAAATTGTCAGGGATGACAGCCTTCTAGAGGAATTTATTTCTCTTTACCAGCGGAACAACGACCAAGGTGCCCTTGGAAAGAAACCTGGTTCAAATATATCCTATTGTCCTTCAAATATATTCATTGTCCTTTTATGGATTTATTTACTTATTTACATGGCCATCTAACTCAAAGTAATGGATGCTGGGTACTATATAGAAAGGAAAAATAACCAACTGACAAGTACTAACAGTGGTAACTAAAGAAATGGTTGTAAGTTGAGGACTAGCTACAATATCTTTTTGGGGTTGTGATGTGCTGCTTCTGAGTTTATCGAACCTCTTACCCAAATGAGATTCATTTTATTTTCAGCACATGAAGAGCCCACAGCTAAATTTGGTCCCTGTGCAGCATAAAAGCCCATATGTACTCAGTGGCATCTTATGAAACCTTTTAGCCTATTGTGATGTGTGGGATTCCTAATTTGAATACAGTTTGCAGAAAGGGGCAGTGATAATGTAGGATAGGGGATAAGATAGGATAGGATTAGAGTAGTTTATTGGCCAAGTGTGATTGGACACACATGAAATTTGTGTTTGGTGCATATGCTTTCAGTGTATATTATATACACTGTGTGTGTGTGCGTTTGTGTGTGTGTGTATATACACACACACAAATAGATACACTATATGTGTGTATGTGTGTTTGTGTGTATGTTGCATTTGTGCTGATAAATAAAGAGAGACTAGTATAGATCTATTTCAAGCTATTTAGCTCTCATCAGCTAGCCATACCCTTACAGGGATTCGAACCTGGGCTGTATTACATGTTAGGCAGTTGTATTAGCCACTAGGCCACAGGCTTTCCTCCTTTATCAGCTAGGCTAGGGAAATAGGTATATATTGTGTCACAACCCCTGGTATGCATGTATGTATGTATGTATGTATGTATGTATATACACATACATACATACATACATACATACATACATGCATACCAGGGGTTGTGACACAATATATACCTATTTCCCTAGCCTAGCTGATAAAGGAGGAAAGCCTGTGGCCTAGTGGCTAATACAACTGCCTAACATGTAATACAGCCCAGGTTCGAATCCCTGTAAGGGTATGGCTAGCTGATGAGAGCTAAATAGCTTGAAGCAGATCTATACTAGTCTCCCTTTATTTATTTATCAACACAAATGCAAGACAAATGTAACATACAT